TTTGTACCAGATATTTGAATGACTATACCAGATAATTTGCACAGGAAGAGAGGTACTTAGCATTTCAGTCTTTTCCAACGACCTGTTATGCTGATCTCTGTGTGTGCCTGGGTGTGTGTGGAAGGGGCTGCATGGGAAGATTATTCAGAAACTGGAGGATAATAAATTAGTGCTTTTATTATTGTTTTGCACAGAAGGCTTATTGCACCAAGGACTTCAGTCAACCTGAATACAAACTGATCAGCTCAATATCCCCAAACCAATTTGTCTTAGTGGGAAATTAGCAGAATTAGTCCTAGAGTGAATGGAATAACTCCTGTTCAGGTTAATAGGCATTGCTATCCCTCATAATTTATTATCCCCTCCAAGTTATTTTGGATTAATTTGGTATATTGATACAATTTATTAAGCAATTATAAAAAAAACATATTTTTTGCTTCCAGAAATCCAAGACCGACTGAACTGAGAATGGGGTTTATCCAGTTAAAGGGAGAAGTCTGGATGATAGCTAGATGTTCTCAACTTTTGTTTATAGTTAATGAAATAAAACAGACAGTTGCAATGTGTGATTCTTCTGAATTAAGATATCTACTTGAGATAAACCACAGCCTAAAAATTCCTACTACTCTGTATTGATTATATATAAATCCTTGTATCAATACATCAAAGAGACAAGCAGACTGCCTGTGTCTGAAGTCAGATAAGAAATTGAAGACTTTTCACTAATTACTTTGCTTTGGAATATACTATTTGCTTTCTCTGAGCAGAAATTTCTTTAGATTCTTTATAATCTCTGTTTTTCTATTGTTTTTGTCTTAGTTTGGATAATAAACCCCCAGACAACAAAAAACCCATCTTGCTCACCTATTTTCGACTCAAAGTCAGCTTAGATCAAGATAGCCTGAATTTTAAACATTTCTTCTTTCCTTTCCCCTTCTTTGTCTACCAAATATGCAATTTTACTCTTTTAACTATAACTTTTTAAATTATCTGCTCTTTGAAAGAAATTACATATACATATTTGAAAATCCATTTCACTGTAATTACTGAGTACTTTATATCATATATGAAATGCTTGGGATCATGCAGATTGTTCACTAAAATACCCTAAAAATAATGAATAGAATATTGCATTTATTTTTCCTTTTAAAATTAAGCTATATTTTAATAGAAATTCTATAAATTCATTCAGATCTAAATATATATATAACACACATAATTGCATAAATGCAATTCTTTTGTTAACTAACACACCATACATTTTTTTAATTGAGACCAGCATTACTTTCAAATTAAATACATCATAAAAATCACTTGCCTAATGTTCTATAAATTCTTTAATAACATTCATTAATTGGATATTTTAAAGGGGTATTTTTAAGCTGTGAATGTTCACCCTGGAAAAGAGAAGGCTGAGGGGAAAGAGATCAATGTATTTAAATATCTGATGCGGGGGCAGTGTAAACAGGATGGAGCCAGGGACTTTTCAGCAGTGCCCAGTGACAGGACCAGAGGCAGAAATGGAAACATTTCTGAACATCATGGAACCTTTCTATACAGCAAAATTTTAATCTTCTTGATTTCTATTCATATGCTGCAATAGTTCCATGAAAAGAGCATTTATTAATATCAGTGGGAGCCCTTTATACAGGGCAGCTGGAGAATACGCCATTAAGGACTGCAGTGCAGATTGGAGGAAGGAATTTTATCCCTTCTTAAGGTCTACACCGCAGCACTTCTCATCATTTAAAATAAACTTTCATGTGAAATAATTTTACTCTTGTCCTGATTTTTGTCATTGTCTAATTTTTATCAGTGCATTCAATTTAGTCCTTTCTCTCCACAGTTTCATTTTTCTAATGATCGAATTCTTTCTGTTCTCTATCACACCCAAAACTGCAGACCAGTAAATAGTGGTCAATCATCTTTGATCACACTTGAAAAAAAAATTAAAGCTCTTCTATTTCACTGATTCTTATAAATCTCATGTTTAAATTTATTTTTTATATATATTACTGCACTTTCTAGTCATATTTTTGGATTACGGTATAGCCTTAAATATATATTATTATAAAAAATGCATGTTATCTATTCTAATGAAGTCTAAAAATGTTGTCTAGAAGAAAAATGTTAAAATAACCTGTACATAATAGACTTTTCAAACCAGAAAAACAACCTTTGCATCATCCTAGTCTATTTAATGTTAATTTCATATTGTTAACTTAGGAAAGGAGAAAAAAATTCTCATTTAGTCATCATGTTAGGGATTTAATATAAATTAGATTGTAAATTAGAGCAAAGTTTGGCACTATAAAGTATCAGAGCAGCAGAGAGAGAATGAGAAATGAACCTGTAGGAAAAAAAATAAAAGGTTTAAATAAGGGACTCATAGGTTAAAACCTCCAACTTATGCAATTTTCTTACATTCATAGCTGTTAAAGACTGCACAAGAAAAAAACATACTTAAGGATATTTAGTTCTTTAAAAAAACTTGGATTTGTATTTCATTACTGTTCTGTAAGAAATTCAAAAAGTAGAATCAAAAGAAGTCTTGAGACTAGCGAGAGATCTGTGGAAGGTGTTTACAATCTCAGTAAAAAGTGTTATAGTAGTAATCTGGGTCCTCAGACTGAGGGAAAGACTGCTAAGAATTTGGTTTAAAGTTAGAGAAAGTATTTTGTTTTTTCTAAGATAAAAAATTGTATCAAATCTTTAACATACATCCAGAAGAAAAAGAAAATTAAACAGAAAGATATTGCAGCAAAAACACACCAAAACAGCCACAAACAATATTAAGAAACAATTTGTTTTGCAAGAACACACAAGAAGGAGTGGCATTATCAAGGAAGAAATAAAATATAAACATCTCTTTTATAGAGAAGATCTTTCATGGGTAAATGCTGAAGTTATAGCTTAATCTAATGAGATTGTTTCCCACACAAGTGGAATTCTTAGTATTCATAAAATGGATCCTAGAAAAATAGATAGGGAAATGTCAAAAATGATGCTAAAGTTTTAGAAGAAGGAAAGGATTATTTGAGCATAAGTAGAGTTCAGATGATACAGTGAGGAAATTATTCTGTCTCAAAATACTAAAAATTGTAGAATAAATGTGCCAAAACACAATTAAGAAGTTTATGCTTCCCAGAAAACTTCTCAGTAGGAATTAATATAGAAATGATTGATCATGGTGAAGTGCTCAGAATATATCATTTTATTGCAGTACCTAAAACATATGTACATTTATTAAAAATATTTATTTAACTTGCTGAAAGGAACATTTTATATTGAAATGGAACTTCTGAGGAGAATAAGCCATTGCCTTTTCTCTTCATTTTTGTCGCTCCATATTTTTCAAAGCAGAAGCAAAATTTAAGTATTTTGAATATAAAATCTTTTCAAAATAATTTGTTTTGATTTTGCTGTTTATGAGCCAATTAAGTACCACTTTTTTTTCTTAATTAAATAAAAAAGTGTTATTTAAAATATGAAAGCAGATTAATAATTCTGGTTAGGTAAAATCTCTTCAGAAGCTTATATTGTCTAACATTAATTAAACTGCTTTATGTGAAATATATTATACTTTTAATGCAAGAAAATAAAAAAAAAACCTATAAACTGGAGACTTTAAAAAAAAAAAAAAGCATAAAAAAAGGATTCCCTTCAATCTTTTAGGCCACGCGCCCGGCTGTGTCCGTGCCGGGCGGGCTCCCCGGCTGTCCCGCTCACCGCGGGGCCACACGCAGCGGCCGCCCCGAGGCTCTGCCCAGCCGGGCCGGGCCGGGAGCGCTGCGGGCGGGGAGCGCAGCACGGACAGACACGGGGAAACCGAGGCACGGCAGCGAGGGAAGGACACTCGGCTGAGTCTGCGGAGAGCTCATCCCGCAGCGGGCACAGCGAGTGACACATCTGAGCCCCAAGGGGCTGCTTTCCAAGGGCAGAGGGAACACGGGGAGGACACAGCCGGGGACCGACAGGAGGCATCAGGGGAGCGGGGCAGGGTAAGGGCTCCCCAAGAGAAGCCAACGCGGGGAGGAGCGAACCTCACACCCAATTCTGCTTCCAGGAAGGGATGGGAGACAGGGAACTCTCCAGAACCAAAGGAGTGTGCTAGCTTTGACAGACAGGGCTGAGACAAGGAACAAGGGAGCTATACAGGCGGATTGACATGTGCATTGACAGGCATTTTGGTGGGGAAAACTGTGGTGAACATCTCAGGACTGAACCATCAGGAAAACCAAATGGGATACAGAGAATGAACCACCACAAACTGACAACAAGGAATATCAAAGCATACTACAGAAGAACAAACTATAAAATAACAGAGTACCACAAGACTAAACTGGAAGATTAAAGATTAGACAGATGAGTATGGACAGTTCTGGATAGATGCATGTTGTTATATGGTGTTTTTTAAGTCCTCTGAATAAGCTTGGCATAAATCAGCTTGATTGCAATATCCAAATAAATATTAGCATTAGCAGGTCAATATATTTGAGGTCACAGGCTTTACCTGCTTCAGATTGTCAGATGTTCATCCTGCTGGCACAACAAAGCAGCCAAACATAGGAAGCCATGTCCAGAATACATTATTTTAACAAATCCAAGCCTAAGTTAACATTCCTTGCCTCTTAGCAAAGCCTGTCAGCCTGAATACAATGACAGTGTCATTATTTTTAGTATATTCATAGCACTACTTCTAGCAATTCATGAAGACATTTTTGTCAAATACGGTTTATGTCATTCATTCTTGCTTATAGGCAACATTAACAAGCAGCAGACTGATGCAAAGCATCTAAACAGGATAATATGCATTCATGTAGCATTTTTATTTTCATATCATGAACAATACTAAGTCTTGAGAAGAATCACACTGAATTAGATAATATCAATCCAAAGTAAACTGAGCCAATTAAATCACAGAAAAGTGTGAGTTTATGGAGTAAATCAATGGCAGAGAAAGTTAGAGCTTAGGAGCTTTGAATTTGAATAAAACATACCTCAGCAACAGTGGAGGTGGTTCTATTAGAATGATTTTATGAAATTTCTTCACTGTGAAGGTTGTGAGACACTGTAACAGGATGTCCAGAAAAGTTGTGGATGCCCCATTTCAAGGAGTCTTCCAGGCTGCATTGGATGGGGCTTTGAGCAATCTGGTGTAGTGGAAAGTTTCCAGACGTAGAAGAAGGGCTGGAACTAGATGATCATTAAGGTGTCCCTTCCAACTCAAACCTTTCTATGATTCTGTGGATCATTTTGTAAGAGAGGATGATGTTTTACAAATATTGAAATAAGATAAAGGTCTACTAGGTAGAATTACTTCACTTTAAAGGTCAAACACAAGGACAGCAGGCAATCTCTCAACAGAAAAGAAAGGTTATTGAATAATAATGTTGTGAATATAAAGTACTAGCTCTGTTATAATAGCAGCTATATCAGGGCAGTAGATGAGCCATGGAAAAGAATGCTATAGAGTCTGAACAGAAGAATATTTAGTAATTTTCAACAACACAGAAAAACATATGCTTTTCCAAGGTGACCCCAGGATCCATGGCAACATGGGCAGTTCAGTCTCTATGTGATGTGTGTCTATATGGATAGAAAATGACATGAGCATATCTGCCTCATTCAGACTCTTGAAAGGACAGCTCTCAGTTTTCAGACTTGCAGCCCATACAGAGACAATAACACAACACACAGAGGTAGATGTGGTGTGTATGGTGTTGGTTTAGTCTTCTGTGCACACTCCATGCATTCAAAGACCCATTCAAAGACCTTAGGTCTGATCATTGACACAGACTGCAAAGCAAAAGAATGTGTTCTCTCAGTTTGGCATGCACCCCACCCTCTTAAACATGCAGAAAAAGATTCTTGCATATTTACAAAATGTTCGCTTCTTCATGGTTTTCCTGCTAGCAAAGATTTTGGCAACTGATTTCAATAAAGGCAACACGTCCATTCTAAACCTGGTATTTTCAGTAAGTAGTAACAATAGCATCACAGAATCAGTGACTACTCTGGATTGTAAGGGACCTTTAAAAATCATCTAGTCCTATGCCCCTGCAGTGAATAGGAACATCTTCAACTAGATTAGGTTGCTCAAAAAGCCCTGTCTGAATGTTTACAGGGATAGGGCATTTACCACCTCTCTGGGAAAACTGTGTTTTACCTCTTTAATTAAAAAAAAAAAAAATCTTTCCTTATACCTAATCTGAACCTATTCTCTTTTAGTTTAAAACCATTATCCCTTGGCCTACCACTACAGGCCCTGCTAAAATAGTCTGTCCCTGTCTTTCTTACAGGCACTGTTTAAATATTGAAAGACTGCAATGCGGTCTCCCTGAAGCCTTCTCTTCTCCAGGCTAAACAGCCCCAACAGTCTCAGCCTCTGCTCATAGGAGAGGTGTTCCAATCCTCTGATCATTCTTGTGGTCCTCCTACAGACACACTCCAAGAGGTTCACGGGCTCATGGGCTGGATATAACACTCAAGGTAGAGTCTTGTAGGAGCAGAGTAGAGACCTGATTACTTCCTTTGAGCTGCTGGTCACAATCCCTTTTACACTGTTGTTATGCCTTCTCTAAAAATAGAGAAATCTTTTGACTTAGTGATTAATAAGCCTCACATTACTATCTATCTCTATTTTCTTTAAAATTTTATTTTATATAACTAGTTAAAAATGAGTCACTGAGTTTGTATTTTAAATTCTTATTGAGCTGCATAGGATTGTTCATTTAGTAGTTTTTTTCACTAAAGAAGAACAGAAATCTGGATGCAGAGGATGAATTCACCCATCACAATGGTACAAGGCAGAAAGCAAATCCCCAGTAGATTCTTTAGGACTCAATCTCTGCATAAGCTAACCAAAATCACAAACACCTCAAAAATTATTTTTCAACACATATTATATTGTCTATTAAATTATGTTTCTTATATTTAAACAGTAAATATTTTTAAAGTTATTGTTAAAGTAAGACAGAAGGCAGATTTTAAAAGTGATTGACAGACAAATACCTGTACATCTGGAAGAAATATATACTAATTTGTTAATTATTTTGCATTTGCTGCTGGTGTAATTTTGTTTAATATTTTCTTTATTTGAGTTTTTGATTATAAGAGATAGATATATATATTATTTTATTTAATGAAATAATGAGATATTCTCCTTCACATAGCCTCTTTGCTAGACAAACCAAACTCAATTCTTCCTCAGCTCAGACACAACACAAATATATTTTAACTTGGCTTTAAGGAAAACTAGTATATTTTGAATTTGTCAAAAAGGAAAGAGATTTTTTCCCCTTAGAATCAGCTCTAAAATGTAGTCATTCATTATGCATACTATAAATATAAAAGTGGAACCCAGCAGTAGTAGGGACAGAATTAAATTGCAGGGTGCCATGTGTGGTTCTGTTTATAGCAGCATTCATATTGATTACATGCAGTTTTTATAGCAGACCTCTTTTAACTATATAGGTGAAGATAGCAATTAGATGTGCGCTGTTTTTCTTTATGTTGCTGTGAGATATCCAGGGTATTTATGTTTTCATAGAATTTTTTCCATTCTCTTACCCTTTTTTTCCTTCAGATTAAATGCTAAATATTTCTGATTCATTCCACAGCACTTTAAAAGTGCATGTGAGCTTCAGCTGGTTTTTCACTAGTAGTTTACAATATATCCAAACAATGTGCTTATATGAATGATAGTTTTAAAAAAAAATTGAGAATGGTTGCTAAAAGACTTTTTTCCCCCCTAGATAATCTGGAACCAGCAGTACAGTTCTTAGATAAACTGATTAGTAAACTTAATACCTTACTCATGAAGAGGACAGAGTCAGAGGAGAATCATGTGTTCTATTTGAAGATGAATCTCTGTTACTTGTTTCTTCATTGAAATTAGCCAGTACAAATATTTTTCATTGTCACTTGTGTTCATCAAGTCCACTTTTATTGTCAGCTCAGGTGTCAGCCCCATCTTAGAGATTTTCAAGATCCTGTATGTCAAATCCACATGTATAACCTACACTATTTGTTTAAAGCAATGTAACTTACAAAACAAAGGCACAAAAATACAAAATCCAGAGGGAAAGATAGTTAAGACAATTTTTAAGAGATTCAGATAATAGTAGCATTTTCAGTTTAGCTGGAAAATATTATGTGTTGTTTATGTGTGTGTTTTTGTGCTCATGCACTCAGAAAAACTTTTAATGACAATTGTTCATTTCTACACTATTTGTACCACAAAAATATAAATTCAAAGCAGTGCTGAAACAAGTAAGTATTTTGTAGGAATATAGACAGGGCAAAAAAAAGGCTTAGGTCTGTGAATTCCACTAGGAGAATTTTTTCTCTGTCTAATTTATCTGGAAGACACAGAAATATTGAATCATATGTGTTATAGAGAATTTTAGAGCATGTGAAATTGTGCTTTGTTTCCTAATAAAACAGATCTCATGGAATGATCTGCAGCTTTTATTAAGAAGATTTTTACAAATATGCTAAGAAATATATTTTTAATATAGCAGTCAAAAGTGTGACTCAAAGTATACATATATATTACTCCTAGCTCAGCTCCTCTGAGTGTTTTAATCCTTTGTCTCAGCAAATAAAAGAGAAACTGTTAGGGATATTCTGAGCCCAAATTCTCCTTTTCCATAGGTTAATATAATTAATGGGCAGTTATTCTCTAGATACAGGTTTTGGATTTTGGGTTTTTTTTCACATTGCTGGCAGTGAATTTCTAATCTACTGGAAATACTATACTTTAAGGCCCAGCATCTGTTTCTTCTGATATATTTGTATGTATTTGTATTTTGTCATTGATATCAAGACTGGATAACTAACAGGCATATCTTCTTCATGGAAAAGATGAATGTCCAGTATGATTTCTTTCCCTCAGCCTTTATTAGTGAGACCAGTCTTTGGGAATTCCAGGTCACAAAAATAAGTGAAGTGTTGGAGCAGAGAAGGTGTACTCTTGCTGGAAGATGATTTTCCTTTATATCCAATCTAAATCTCTCCTGGCACAATTTGAGGCTATTTCTCCCCTGAGCCTGGTTTTTTTCAGGCTGAACAGCACCAGCTCCCTCAGTGTGCTCCACACCCTTCATCACCTTTGTTACCCTTCCCTGGACACACTGCAGCATCAACACCTCAAATGTGCTAAGTCCTGCTGGCCACAGCAGGATGCTGATCCATTGCTGATGCGGGCTAGAATTCCATTTGCCTTCTTGTCCACCTGGGCACCTTTCAGGCTGGCTCATGTTCAGCAGTTCTCACCCAGCTCCCCCAGGTCCTTTTGTGCCTGGAAGCTTTCCAGCCACTCTTCCCCAGGTCCTGCAGTGGGTTGTTGTGACCAAATTGCAGGACACAACACTTTGCCTCATTGAATGTCATGTAAGTGGCCTCAGCCAATTGATTCAGACTGTCTAGATCCCTCTGTAGTGTCTTCCTACCCTCCAGCAGATCAACACTGATGCCCAACTCTGTGACATCTGCAAATTAACAGAGAGTGCACCTGATCCTCTCTTCCAGGTCATTGATAAATGGATTGGCCACAGTGATGTCAGCTTTTCTCATTTAAATGGAAGTCAAGCAAGGAGCATTCCCTGAAGATTAAATCGAGGCCTAATATTCAGTGCTCTAAATGACAAATGTACCTGTAGTTTTTTAAGAAGTTCCTCTGTAAAAAGTTGTATTTTTTTATTTTATGATACTGTACCTTTGCACATTGTGTTTCACAGAGTCTAATGTAAAGTACTGAGAAGCTGTTTTTGTGACAGGTAGGCAGCTGGAAGCAGACAAGGAAAAAGGAAAACAGTGGGCTATTGTCAGCACTGCAGAACATTGTCAGAACATTAATTTATCCTGGTTAGTCACACCTTAACAAGGCAGCAAGTAAACAGAAAAAAATATTCAAGCATAGGAAGTGGTCAAATAAAAGCATTACCAAAGCACTGTGAACCATAACAGATGTGCTAATATCTTGCATGTATTTGTCTCCTAGCTAGTTTGTGCTAATGATGCATCTATTCTGAACTGTGTATTATTTTGTTTTACAGCACTTAAATAGAAGCTTGTGCAAGGCTCACGATGAGAAATGGGCAATAAACAAGTACAACAGGTTAACAGACAGAGAACTGAAAACAGGAACCAGTTCTTTATTGTGAACAGTAGGAATTTTAAAAAATATTTAGATAAATATAAAAACTCA